AAATTTGGAGTTTCTACACTCCACGTAAGCGTGTCCTTAAGACATGTTTATTCCCCTTGAGACCTTGACCACAGTCAAGAAGTTTCTAACCTCCCTATTGAGGGGAACTACGATTACTCTGATTCCACTCCCGTAAGGATACGTAGGCACAAGATGCGATGTCTTGCCGAGTAAACTTAGAATTAACCCCTTAGGTTTTTTTTCTCACTTTTAATCCTTTGTACATATACCTTAAGCAAATAATAAAGCAAATAGTAAACATCTGAACAAAAGGTTCCTGTAGAGTACTACAGAAGTTTAGGATGCTAATACCTTCCCTAAATTTAACCAACCCCCGAACCCTAGATCTTTCCCCGCATTGTGTTTACGATGCAAAATAGGTTTTCCCTCTTTTGACCTTTTCCTTCGGATAAATCAAAGAGCGGTTGTGAATTGAATTGCGATTCAAACTCATTAATAGTTTGATATCCTATTTCCACCGCAACAGAAAATGGCGACTTCACTGGGGACACTTCTAAACTTTTGAGGGTTATCCCTAACCTGTTCATATTTATTATTATCTGTTATTATTCATTTGCATGTATATATTTATGCTTTCATGGTGGGATTGTTCCTTGTGCTGTGAGATAAGTCCTACGCCCGGACTAGTGACATTATTATAGGATGGGGATATATTCGATGAGGCTTATAGGGAGTTGAATCCCGACCAAGCTGATTCGAGAATCACCGCTCAGTTGAGACCCTTTTGAAAATGGTTCGGTTGAACGAGTAATCGCGAAAACTTTTTCCATGGTCGACTGGAGTCTGTGATATTGAGGACCGTAGTACCTTAACACCACCTTGGCCTTATTTAGGACGTAGTGCGGGAGCTATGTGGCAGTAATCTTACAATAGCTGCTACGCGATGCTACACTCAAAATAGGTTCTCTTGAGAATATTATTAACCCCTGAGTCAGTCGGAAGGTTGATAATATCCGAAAGATGGGCTGATGACTTTGGGCACTTTGTAGAACCTTGTTCGGCAGGTACAACTAACCTATAGTACATTCCTTTTGGGATGGGTAGACCTTGACTCCGCTCACGTTCTTTTAACCTAGGACTTTGTGTGTTTTCATGCATTGCATCCATAAAGCATCTCATTGCATTGTATTTCATGGAGTTCAAATACCATTTATGGATATCGCGGGATACCATGAATAAAAAAATAAGATGAAAAACAAGAAAAAGATTTTCTTGGTACCCCACGACATTCGTAAATGTTTGAATTCCATGAAGTCTTCATTTGCATCATAGCATCATTTACTTTCTTGCATTGCATGTGTCTTCCGTTTTCTCATGTTCGGTTCTCTCGCCTTCCAGTTTCGTCACCCTGAGTTCTCGGCACCAATACAACACCAGAGCTCAAACTCGGAAGAGAATGGAGGATCAGGCAAAAGAGATTGATCGCCTTAGCAATGAACTTGAAGACCTTCGAGGGGGTATGGGGCGTATGATGGAATTATTACATGTCATGAATGCTAAGATGGATACCCAGCCCACTGTTGTTTCTGAGATTACCGACGTTACTGTGGACCCTCCACCAAGTGTGACCGTAGCAAGGGACCCACCTTATGGTCTTGCTCCCGGTTTTGTGCCTCCTCAAGCCACTGTTCCAATTAATCAACCTGTTCAGCAAGCCGTGCCTTTATTTTCTGAAGTTTCTAGGGGGGCTCCTATCTTTGCACCACCTGTTGTGCACACTCGTGCACAACCGTACTTCAATGAGACGGTTTTTGATAATCTTGATGAGAATGTTAAGGGTTATGAGAAACATGATAAGCTTCGTGAGGAAGTAAACACCATCGTCCAGAGATTGAAAAAAGTAGAGGGCGATCAAATTTTTGGGACTGCTGCAAGGGATGTTTGTTTGGTCTCAGGTTTGGTTATTCCCCCGAAGTTCAAAACTCCGAACTTCGATCGTTATGAAGGTGCCACCTGTCCTAAGAGTCATCTGATCATGTATTATCGTAAAATGGCTGCCCATGTTGAGAATGATAAACTGATGATTCATTGCTTCCAAGATAGTTTGAAGGGTGCTTCCTCCAAGTGGTATTTAACTTTAGACCAGTCTCGCATTAAGAGTTTCCAAGATTTATCTGACGCTTTCATCAAACACTACAAGTACAATATGGATCTGGCTCCTGACAGAAGACAGTTGTTGAGTATGTCACAAAAGAATTCTGAGTCAAATAATGTACTTATGATATGAGAGTAGAAGTACAAACAATAATATGATATGAGATGATAATAATGGAGTATAAACATAAAAGAGAGATAGGGAGCGAGAAGGAAATATAAACAAAATTAGCACAATAATATTGTTAGTGAGTTAGTGGTTAGTTGTTAGAACAAATAATCAACGATGGTTAAATAATGTACTTATGCCAAACTTAATGAAGACTTATTAGAGGATTGATAAAATCAAAGCCTCCTAACAATAAGTTTCATAAGTAATTGACCTAAGACAAATAGTCAACCATACTTGGACTTTCAAACATAAGTTCGGGCCACGAATGATCATTTTCCGATACAGGACAATTTAACACCATGTTACACAAAAATGGTGGAAAGCTCTATTTATGAGTATTTGATGAGTAAGTTGAATATCCCTCCTCAACTCAATGGTTGAGGTATTTATAGGAACCTCTTAGGACTGGGTCTTAGGCCTGACGAATGTGGTTACTGTATCTTTTCCTCAAGAAGTGGAGTCGTATTCTTTGTTATCCTAAAGAACATGCCTTCCCTCTTTGACTGCCTCTTCGATACCATTATGGGATAAAGTCATGTCATTCCTCGTGTTTTTATAAGCATGTGAGTAATATTGGCAACAACGATATAACCAAATAATAGGTGCACGTTGTGATAAACTACTGGTATAATCAGATAATGGGTGTATATTGTGATAAACGGATGCCCATTGCATAAAATGGGCGCTTGACCACCCTACCGTTATATTTCTATTTTTAGTGAATCTTGTGTTGCCTCTTGTATAGTTTTTGTTTTAAGAAAATTATATATACTAGCATCTAGACGGGCACTCGCGTGCCTGTCTGTCCGCTTTTTTAATGCGCATGAATAAAAATATAAACGTTACTTTTTATTTAAATAAATTTTAAAAAATACAATATGTGAAAGTTAATAATAAGAAGTTATGTGGAAGTTAATAATAAGAAGTTATTAAGTAAATTATATAATAAAGTAAGGGTAAAAATGGTAGAAAAATAAGTCATACCAAAACAAAGTATTCCCTTTATATATTAAGTGTTCTGGCCTGGGCCCCGACTTGACCAGGCAGGCCCAGCCCAATAATATTGTGTCAAGCCCAGTCCAGCTTGGGCCGCACCCGTCGAGCACAGGGTCCCCGATGGACAGGTAATGTCCCTCCGCGGGCAGAACATGTCTCATTTGTGTCGAGCACAAGACTCCCCCATTGACCAGACACTACCCTCTCCGCGGGCAGAACCTGCTCCCCTGTCGGGCAGGACAACGTGTCCTTCACACGTTCTCCACGTGCTCCCCTCCACGGGGACACGTCACCGACCAACTGCCCACCTCCGAAAGATCAAGTCAAACCAACTTTCCGGAGATCACGGGATAGTTGGACTAGGGCGAAGACCACGTCCTGGTCTTCACTACGCCACGTAAGCCCTAGCAGTCACCTGGGTTGGGCCTGACAATCCAGCCCAACACAAGTGACCGTTGGCCCAACGCTGGGGTCTCTCTATAAATACCCTCTTTCACAAGAGGGTTAGGTAATTCATTCCTTACCCTTTTTTCTGTACTTGTGATCACTCTGCCTGTACGCTTACTTTAGCATCGGAGTGTCTTGCAGATACATCCCTCTCCTCTTCTTCAACACCGGTGAACAGACAGCAAGTCGAAGACGCGTGGCAGCCAGCGATCCCCTTCTGATCAGGTCAGATCATTAAGTAAGAGTAAAAATGATAGAAAAATAAGCCACACCAAAACAAAGTATTTCCTTATATATATATATATATATATATATATATATATATATATATATATATATATATATATATATATATATATATATATATATATATATATATATATATATATATATATATATATATATATATATATATATATATATATATATATATATATATATATATATATATATATATATATATTCAAATTCATATAACTTTTTTAAAAAGTTGTATTTTTAAAATAATTTTTATGAAATTTTTTACTAGTAATATAAAATATTTTAAAAAACAATTTTATGACATAGTGATTATTTGAAAATTTAATATTTAAAAAATTTATAATAAAAGGATAATATATTTAAAATAGTATTTTATAAAAAAAAATTATATTTAAACGTTTGTTTATTTATTTATATATTTTTAATATATATATATATATATATATATATATATATATATATATATATATATATATATATATATATATATATATATATATATATATATATATATATATATATATATATATATATATATATATATATATATATATATATATATATATATATATATATATATATATATATATATATATATATATATATATATATATATATATATATATATATATATATATATATATATATATATATATATATATATATATATATATATATATATATATATATATATATATATATATATATATATTAACTATAAAAAACTATTTAGAAAGAAACTCAAATAAACGTGCGGCTAACAAGAATCACAAGACGAAAAGCAGCATCATGTTTTTCTCTCGTATAGCATAACAAAATGACATATCAAATTATATATTTAAAAATAAATGATAATTCAAAATGGCAAAAATCTTACTATAAATATTTCTCGCCATAACAGAAAACGGTTACAGGAGAACCTGCGTTGTCCACGCTCAATCTTATTTTTCCTCCCTCAAATTCTTAATTCAATCTTATTTTACCGCCCAATTTTCTTCCACCGCCGTAAATGAGTACCGTGAAATTACTTTCACCGTCATGTAGCACCGGCATGTTCCGTAATGTCGAATGCCGACAATCGGCGACTTCTCCTTCACCGGCGGTGGAGAAGCTAGGGTTTCATAACCTATGCGCAACCAATGTCGCTAGATCGTACCGTAGTCCGAGAAGCTTGGTACTCTGCTACGACCGTGCGAAATTGAACTTACGGAAACCGATTAAGACGAAGGAATACACCGGCGCTTTTTTGATCGATGACCGCAAGTGCTCGAGGAAGTTGTTGAAGCCAATTAAGGCTAAGAACGACTCTGAACCGTCTTGCACGGATAACACTGCTGCGTTATCAGGTACTACTATTCTTTTTTCTTTCTTTCTTTCCAGACTCTTATTTTCTTTCTCTCTCGCATGATTTATAAAGCGATTGAGATCTGGAATCTGGAATCTGGAATCTCAATGCTTTTTTGAGAAACGCTTTGCTTTTTATGCGCTATTATTTGTCATTTGCATGTTTAGAGTCATTAGTTAATTTCAATTTCAACGAGCTTCTTTATACCGTATACAGTAAAAAGACTGTTAGGTGGAATGGTATCATTCAGAAAGAATCTAGAACATTCTTATGATTTTAATTAAATAAAACTGAAATAAATGGGTTATTACATGTTGCTTAAGTTCAGCGAAATAATAATTATTAGGAAAGAAAGACGGAGAAATAAGAGATTCCTTCTGAACCATATAAAATAAAATATGTACTACATTTTAGCTATGTGGGTCACAATTTAGTAACGTGTAGCAAGTAGCTACGGAAAATTGGGGAAACAGTCAACTTAAGAACTATGAATCTGTTCGTGGATTGAAAAAACTGATTCTCAATTAGGTTTTTCAGAAGTTAATAAGGGCTGCCGAGGTGATTATTCAGGTAAGCATCATGAATCATGATCCCAAATCTTGTTTGTGGTTGTTTCTATTTTGCTGCTTATTTTTTATTCTTTTTTCCTTTTTCTTTTGTTTTTGTCCTCATCTATTCAGATAAGTTTTGAGTGTTCTATATATGTGATAGGGAAAGCATTGAATTTTGATGCATGTGTACGGACAGTTGACTTTCTTTTTTGTCATTTGATGTCTAGCATAGAGAAGCTATAGTGTAAATGAAGATTATAATTGTTAACCGAGTTGTTATCGATTTAGGTAAAAGTTTCCACAAGATGTCGAACGTTGGGAACTCGACTAACATTTTGTGGCATGAATGTCCGATTCAAAATCGTGATAGGCAGCAGCTGCTTCAGCAAAAAGGCTGTGTTATATGGCTAACTGGTCTCAGTGGTTCAGGTCAGTGATTTTTTAGGTTGTTACTGTCGATAAATGTCTGCTTTAGTACATGAAATCAAAAGAAAATTAACCGCAGTTGTGTGCAAGACTAAGATTCTGATGGTGATTTTGTTTTAAGCTCTCTCTCTCTGACTTTCTAGGACTTCTTGTTTTGCTGTCTTAATTTTTGTGCATGGGCAGAGTGAGCATGTAATGCTGTATAGAATAGTAGATGACCAGTAGTAAAGACTAGTATAGACCTATAATAGACACTTTCATCACAGAATATGTAATTCTACAATTTTTCATTCAAATATATAATTATTGTCTTCACTATGCGGAGTATGTATCGGCACTTAAAACTTCCCTTGGTAAGTTTTTCTGTTGGAATCACTATAATTCAAATTACTGATTGTTTGTTGTTTATGTCTACCTTACAAGCAAGGTGACTTTTGAGGTTAAACCTCAACTTTAGTTTAACATATGGCCATGTGAAACAAAAGTGGATCTTGTTGTAGCCTTAAATCACTTACCCAGTCAGTCAAGATGAACTTTCTAATATATTTGCTTATCAATGCCCAAAATTGAATAACTTAAAGTGCAATATAAGGTAGATTTTTCTCTAACTATGCTTACTTCTTACAGCAATTGCTGCAGCAGATTAAGTGGCATTTTAAGTTAGATTTATCTTATATTTTTTGTCACATTCGTGTCATTTTATCCATTTTTTTTTCTGTTTTGGCATTTGCTGAGTTAGCACAGTGTAGTGGTAATATTCCTTTGCAAATGGTTGTATCTGCTCATGCATTTATCATGACCAAAAGTGGTCAAGCAAGAAAATCATCCCCATATTTCAGAAAACAACTGTTCTCTTTTCTCTCCTTCACTCTGAATTCTCCCAACTTTATTGGAATTCATTCACAATTTTCAGTTCCCCACCTTTGTATTGGGTTTTATCAGAGTCCTCTCTAAAATCCAAAATCTCGTCTCAATTAGTATTAGACCTTCTAGCTGGTGCTTACCCATGGATAAAGCTTTAAGCTACACACAATCTGTTGAATATGTTAGAATGAGAGCATTCTATTTCAAAAAAGTGGGATGTGTCTTAAATAATGAAGGAACTGGGTTTGGATCAACTAATGGATAGCTTATTGGCAATCAACGCTGTGCTCCAAACACAATTGGAACCACTTCAACAAAATTCTAGGAATTTTCAGTGACCATCACATTGTACTCAGGATCTTGATCTCAACCTAGAACTGCTATTCATCAAGGGCTTCAAAAACTGACTATTCCAGATTTGATGTATCTAACCAGCTTCATCTGGAAGGAACAACCACAAGCAAAATGGGAAACCCACAAGCCGAGGTTTGAAACACGAACCTAAAAATTACTAGAAATGCACATGAAAACTATAATTCGACCCAAAACCAGTCTCTTACCCGTATTTTGAAGAAGTGTGAACTATTCTTCTCCAAGGACAACACCCCACCCAATCCAAGGTATGGTAGACTTCAATTCATATTGATGGTAGTGCTCGGTGATTGCATCTTAATTATGTGAGAACTGGGTTTAGTATCATCTCAACCTAGAACTGCTATTCATCAAGGGCTTCAAAAACTGACTATTCCAGATTTGATGTATCTAACCAGCTTCATCTGGAAGGAACAACCACAAGCAAAATGGGAAACCCACAAGCCGAGGTTTGAAACACGAACCTAAAAATTACTAGAAATGCACATGAAAACATTCGACCCAAAACCAGTCTTTTACCCGTATTTTGAAGAAGTGTGAACTATTCTTCTCCAAGGACAACACCCCACCCAATCCAAGGTATGGTAGACTTCAATTCATATTGATGGTAGTGCTCGGTGATTGCATCTTAATTATGTGAGAACTGGGTTTAGTATCATCCCAAACTGGCCACATTGATATCATGTAGCTTTTCGGAAAAAAGGAAGGAAGTGTGTGCAATTTCCTAACAAAAGCAATACACCTAATTGTCCTGTACCCAGGTCAAACAAAGCTATGATGAATGTCAGTACCAATGTGCAAGCCCAGAAAAGTAAGTCTAAAACACCAAGGCCTAGGAGTTTCAATGCATCAGAAATGGCTCACAAGATGGAAAAAGTCGTATTATGCATGTTAAGTGACAAACCTTTTACTGCATTTCATAATTTTAAGCATAAAAGCACTCAATTCCTAGTGATGGATAGACGAGGAGGAGGAGCTAAAGTGTGAAAGCAGTCCATCGAGTTTGGACACTGCACAAATTGAAGAGTTGCAATTGTCCATAAAAGCTTTGATTAGAGTCTCAAATTTATCAACAAAGATGGTAAGTAGCCCTCATAGCAAACATTTGTTACCATTAGAATATGACAGCGGCATTACAAATTATCTCATAGAGCATGATGTAGTTAAGACATTATAAGTTGTAAATTAGAGACCGTTAAGGCTATTGACAGTCCCTGTGATTGATGAAATGTTGACAGATGCACCATATAACTGTAGAGGTTTTTTGCGTGGCTCCAACAACCTAAATTTAACTGAGGGGATGATGTTGCCTTGGAGGTGCATTGAGTTTGTTTGTTACCCAAGGTGGTCCCAGTCATACAGGATTTTCAAAGCTCCAATTGAATATTTTTTAGGTAAGGAGCTAAATCCGTTTCGAAGATTTCCAAACCTTCTAGCAGCAATTTGATCAATAAAACAAGCTTCTATTTCAGGTGATGCAGAGTAAGTGTTTTGTCTGCATAACTACACCAGCAACCCAATCACTCTGGCTGCCAACGATAGTGGCAACTCAATCAGCATGGTTGTAGACCAAATTGTTTTGGATTACAACTTCAAACTGCAACGATTGCCTTGTATAGCTACTAGTGATATGGATTCAGACTTTAGGGTTAAATTTTTTAGTCTATAAAATTATCAACTTTTATTTTTAGTTCCTATAAAAATTTTTGTCGACTTTAATCTCCAAAACATTTATAAGGACTACAAGAAAATATTTATAAGGACTAACAATGAAAGTTTGTAATTTTATAAGGATTAAACATATTTAACCCAAAACCTTTATTATCAAGGCTTGGAACAAACTATCTCAGTTCTAAGAGACCTTAATGGGCAATTCCGTTGCATTCCCTCCTAATTCAGATGTTGTGAGCTTGCTCCTAGTGCCCCCAGCTGAAGTTATTTCAAAAGCCACTCTGATGTTGTCCAACTGTCACACAGTTCTGAGTTCCCTGCTGCCTCAGTATTGGGTTTTACTGGAATCCTCCCTACGATTGAAATTCCCGTCTCATACTGTTACTTAGCCCTGAGATGTTAAAGTAAATACAACAATTGGAAAATGGATTGCCTTTTCTAAACTTTGCTCTTGGTGATATTGTATGAAAATTAAAATCCATAAAAGTTGAAAAAAACAAGCAATGTCATGAAATTGTGTAATTTTAGCATGGCGTTGGCCAAAGCAGTTCTACTTATCAAATATAATTCTACAGATGGGGATAAAAGCTTGTGAGTTTAGTTCATTGAGATGTCAGGCTGTACGGTTACTTCTTCTAGATACCATATGCACAAACTTGAGTTCTGGACTCACTAGTCATTATTGATTTTAGGAAAAAGTACTCTGGCATGTGCTTTGAGCCAAAGCTTGCACTCCAAAGGAAAACTGACTTACATCCTTGATGGTGACAATATTCGGCATGGTCTAAACCGTGATCTTAGTTTTAGAGCAGAAGATCGTTCAGAAAACATTCGAAGGATTGGTGAGGTTCTACTTTCTTCAATAAATATACACGCTCTAGATTTTTTTGCTTCATAAATATTCTCTCTTATATATTCCAATCATATGGTACTTGTGAAAATATCAGGTGAAGTGGCAAAACTCTTTGCAGATGCTGGTGTTATTTGCATCACTAGTTTAATATCACCCTATCAAAAGGATAGAGATGCTTGCAGAGCACTACTGCCAGAAGGGAGTTTCATTGAGGTATATTCTTGTTATTGTGGTCATAAAAAAATGCAGGTACTTTACAATTATAAAACAAGAAATTCTTTATAGCTAATGCAGTGCTCACATGTTGCAGGTTTTCATAGACGTGCCACTACATGTGTGCGAAGCTAGGGACCCAAAGGGCCTTTACAAGCTTGCTCGTGCAGGAAAGATCAAAGGTATATTGGTAAAACTTTTTCATAATACCGTTTGCAACCAAATTTCATATGTCTGCTAACGGGGTGCTACAATCTCGTACTGCTGTATTTGTTATTTTACAATGTTAGCATAAGCAGTTCAGCTATATATGCCATGCTTTATTTTTCTTCTTTTTAGTCAAATTGTGGAGTATCATTTCCCGTATCAGGGTTGAATTGTGTATTTGTATGCTGCAGGTTTCACTGGTATAGATGATCCATATGAACCACCGTGTGGCTGTGAGGTTTGTATTTGTATTTGTATTTTTCATCTTAGTAATGTCAAAGATGGAGAAAATAGCAATGAAAAATAATTCTTAAATTAATTTTGTTTATTTACCATTTTTAAAATGGTTAATGGTGCTTCAATTATTGGCTTGCAAGGTTATAGGTTAAACAACAAATAATGTTTTACTAATAAACTGGTAACATTGTAACATGTTATTAGTCTGTTAACTAATCTATACAACTTGTGAACCAAAAATAAAGTTTCCGTTAACTGATTTTAAAATGGTGTGTAAATAGTGTTGCCTAATAGAAAATAAATAACTCGCCAATTTATAATTGAAATATTTTAGCTCCCTTTGTTTGAATCCAAGTTTGAAGAGAAAACTGTTGTTCTTCTAGATAGAGACAGAGTAACTTATTTTGTTTCATTTTTAATTCTTTTTCTCTGTTTCTTGATCTTCAATGAAACACAGGCTTATCTAGGCTCATGTGTTACCTATAAAAATTTGTGCTGAAATTTCACCAGTGGGATTCTAAATCAATGTAATTGATTTCACTATTCTTTTTCATTTCTAAAGACTGCCTTCCTTATCTTGTAGATAGTCTTGCAACAGAAAGGAAGTGATTGTAAGTCTCCTAAAGATATGGCAGAAATAGTGATTTCCTATTTGGAGAAGAGTGGACACCTGAAGGCCTGACTTTGCTTTAGAGGGGCCTTTCTTTTCCTATTTTGTTTGCTCTATTGGGGTTTCAAAGCGTCCTTTCTTCTAGCCTGTAGTTAAATTTTGTTGTAGATTATAGCACATAAGAAGTTGTTCCTTTCAGCTGCAAGGAAATCATCGTTTCCTGCACATCTGCGCTTCAGAACTAAATCAATAAGGCGGAGCCATGAGGAAGGATTTAGGAGTTGTTGTTGATTGATATAAATAAGCACATAGGAAGAAAGGATTTAGTGTATGTGATTTGTATCTTTTAGCCAATATTGGATGTTTGTAATTCAGATTATAGAGATAAATGAAATGACCCTGTAAATTATTCTTCCAAGTTAATTAGCTTTTGGTTGACTTCTACATTGAAGAAATTGCTTGTTCAGAACGACACACCTTTTAACTTAACCATAGAACAAGGAACTGTGGCTGAGAAAATTGTCTAGCTATTTAATTCAATGCATATGGTCGATGTCAAATTACTTTTTAACAAAAAGTGTAATTGTTCTTGGGTGTGTTTGGGGTTCCTTTGACTGATTTGTAACAGTGTTTTTTTGGGTTAAAAAAAATGATTTTAAATAAATTTTGAGTCTATAAAATTGATATTAATTAAAAGCGAAAGGAAAGTGAAATGATATGTTTGAATAGTAAGTTTTAATGCAAAAATCATATTTGCACTAAAAAATTATAAAATCTATGTTAAACTAAATTCAAGTTTATAAACGCCAGTGACTACTAACTTTTTTAGAGAAAGATGCTCTCTATTTTCTGTTATGTGTGTGTTTTTTAGCGGTAAATATTGATAAAATGCCTCAAAAGAGTTGTGCATCTAGTTTTGTGTTTATGGGCACTTCATAGTGATTGAGAAAGGTTACGAGTCCAACATCTATTCCAACATTACTTCTAGTCATCTATTAATTTGTGAATACTCGAGAAGGTTGAGTAATTTTGAGACCAAAGAGAGTCGAAAAGTGCACACACTAGTCATCTATTCATAATACTCAAAACATGAAACCATTGTGTATTTGCTAAGTGCACACACTAGTCATCTATTCATAATACTCAAAACATGAAACCAGTGTGTATTTGCTTTGTGCTGAAAAAAATTAATTATGAGTGTATTGATTCTAATTAAAAAAAAATCGGAGGTAAATTGATTTATGTTTGAATAATATCTTACAAAAATGAATTGTATAGTAAATTTTAGTTAAAATTCATGTTAAAATAAAAAACTTACAAATTTTAATTTTAAATAAAATCAATTCTTAAAAAGTAGGATTAATTCTACTCGAGACCAAAGGAAAAATTCAATTTTACACGTGCTCCAATCATAAAATCAAATACATACACTAAAATATGGTTGGGAAATGTAGAATCAATGTGATGGAATTAAGGGCGGGAAAACAAAAACAAAATTAAAGGGTGTGATTTTACAAAAACAAATTTATGGATGATGTAACGATGTTGTTTATGGATGATGTAACGATGCTGTTTTTGTTAATGCGTGAGATACTTTTAGTGAGGAGAGAAATAGAGAGAATAAGGAAATAAGGATTGATATTATTGAATGAATAAAACTGAATTATAGAGTGTCTATTTATGTACACTTAAGTGACTTGACTACCAAGTAAAATAACAAACCCTAAATTCTAATTAACTTTGGGCTTGTGCCACATAATTCAGCTTGGATTATATCTAATATCTCAACATATCCCCTATAATTCAAGTTATTGAAACACACTAATCATTGTCGATCTGAATTATTCCTAATTTCTTTCTCAAAGTTAGGGACCTGTCGATCTTCAATCCTTTGGTGAAAATGTCGGCCAATTGTGCTTCACTTAAGTAATGTCTTACTTCAAGTTCACCTCGATTCACCTTCTCCCTTAAGATAAGGATTGATATTATTGAATGAATAAAACTGAATTATAGAGTGTCTATTTATGTACACTTAAGTGACTTGACTACCAAGTAAAATAACAAACCCTAAATTCTAATTAACTTTGGGCTTGTGCCACATAATTCAGCTTGGATTATATCTAATATCTCAACATATCCCCTATAATTCAAGTTATTGAAACACACTAATCATTGTCGATCTGAATTATTCCTAATTTCTTTCTCAAAGTTAGGGACCTGTCGATCTTCAATCCTTTGGTGAAAATGTCGGCCAATTGTGCTTCACTTAAGTAATGTCTTACTTCAAGTTCACCTCGATTCACCTTCTCCCTTAAGAAATGAAATCTAGCTTCGACGTACTTACTTCTTCCATGCAAAATTAGATTCTTCGCCAGATTTATGGTTGACTTGTTGTCGATCTGCAGTACCAGATGTTTCTTCACTTCGACATCCATTTCTTTATGCACAGATCTTATTCAAATTATCTGACATGCAACATAGGATCCTGCTATATATTCAGCCTCGCATGATGACAATGCGACCATAGGTTGCTTTCTAGAGCACCACAAGACTGGGGCACCAAATACTTGAAAGAAATATCTAGTAGTGCTTCTTCAATCTTCCTTATCTCCAAACCAATCAACATCTGGCATTTTAAGATCCTTCTTCATCAGCTCTTTGAACTTTGACAAGTTCTTCAAACTATTTCTAGTTACTAGCAAGTAATCAAGATATAAGCAGATAATTGTTATATCTTGTGCCACAACCTGAATATAGACACCATACTCAGATTTGCATTTGATGAATCCCAGTTTGGACAAGTATGAGTTGATCTTCTTGTTCCATGTCCTAGGTGTCTTCTTGAGGCCATAGAGCACTTTGTGCAACTTGTATACTTTCCGCGCTTACTCCTGAATCACAAACCCAAGAGGTTGTGTGACATACACCTCTTCATCTAAAGGTCCATTCAAAAATTCTGATTTCACATCTAAGTGAAATGTTGATCATCCTTGCTTGCATGCCAAAGCTACAACTAGTCAAACAGTTTCCAATCTTGCGACAGGTATAAATACTTTAGAGTAGTCGAGTCCTGTCTCTGAAGAAATCCTCGAGCTACCAATCTTTCCTTATGTCTTTCTATCGACCCATCATCGTTGTGCTTCAACTTAAACACTCACTTCACTTTGATAGCTTTTGTGTGAGTGTTAGCTCAGAAATTTGGTGCCCATATTAAGTTGGAAGTGTTGATTGAAATGTTAAATTCTTGAAGAGGTTTAAAGGAGTTTTTAACTGGATCTTCATGATAGGTTTAAGTCGAAGGTTCTCACATAAGGAAATGATACTTTTTGGACTTAGAAAATATTTCTAAGAGTTGGGAAGCTACCTTCGACCGAGAATACTGATGATGTCCGACGCTAAGGGAATTCAAAATTCAAATAAAGGAGGGAGTAGTTATTCTTGTCCGCTCCTGAATAAGACAAGTGGCGCACATCCAAGGGACATAAGCACGCAACACGACACTTTTCATATATTAATTGTTTTAGGAAGTTAACAGTAGTTAGTTTTGTTATTATAAATAGGAGTTCTAGCAATAAGATTAGTGGTGGTGTTCACTTTGTACAAGTTACTCCAGATTTACTCAAAGTATCTGCGTGTAGAGAAAAGAGTCTTGGGAGAATGTACGTGATGTAAACACCATTTTCTTCTTTAATGCAATTTACTTTAACTTTTCATCAAAAATTTAGCTTTTACTTTATTGCAAGTTATGTTTCAGCATTGTGTCTTACTTTTTCAGTCTTTCTTTGATGTCTTCAGCTTTTTTTTTCGATTTAATGTTCTTGCGTTTCTTTCAAACCATACTTTTAGATAAACTTCTCTTTATGAACACTGTTGAAGTGTTTAGTCTTCAGAATTTACTTTGAATCAATTGTTAGCACATGTCCTAGGATCAATCTAATCGATCTTGTGAGTCACCAAAGTTAGATTTGAAAGATCAGCAGTTGTTTACCAATTTTCACGGGAAACAAATTGGCACGCCCAGTGGGACAGTGCTAACTTCTATAAAGATTTTTTCTAAGATTTTGAAAATTTGCATTTATTAGTCTTTTCTTTGAGAAAATTTCGTTGCATGTTATTGATAAGTGGGAAAGTAGCCACTACAAACGAAGAGAGACCAAGGAGAAGATACACTAGGAAAATAGCGACGAATACTAGTCAGTCAAACAATCGAAACCCTCAAGGGAGTGGTTCTAATCCTTAATCAAGTAATTCAAATAATCGGCCTAGTAACACTAACCCTCGAAACGTGTCTAGGAACGATGTAGTGCCACCCTCAGTTCTTTCGACAGGAGAGCCAATATTGCCTCCTATTATGTCTGAACCAATGCCATCAATGGTAGGTTCAGGGTCGATATATATAAGGGCTTACACTCAACCTGTTTTGGAGTACATTGGGCCACAAGCATCTAATCCCCAAACTCCACCAGGAGGAACTTTGACGTTTAGGCATTTCCCCCTCCAGGGTTTTCACAACCATTACCAAGGAATCCACCATATGAATGTTAACATAAGTAATGCAAGGCCTCCAAAATGCTCCCCCAGTATTCTCAGAGAATGTAATGTCTTCGCCATTACAAGGGTCAGGATCTGGGATAAATATGGGTCGAAACAGTCAAAGTGTAGGTGTGGGATATTCCACTCAAGGTCCTAGTCTGATAAATACTGTTATAGCATGTTTAAGACAACAAATGGATGAGAGTAACCTACAAATGGTACAAACCTTGTCTCAAACTATGGGAGAAATTTTCCAGCCCTTGATCCAGAACACTACCCAGACTAACCAACAATTAGAAGTGTAATTGGCACGCTTGGTAGAATTTATGGGTGTACCAGCCCCTGTTCGAGGCACAACTGTTGTGGAAAACATTCCACGACGGAACCTAGGGAACGTACTTGAGGCGAATCTAAAAAATCAGGGGATAGTCGAACCCTTTAGCTTCGAACCCCTTAGACTCGAACCTCCTAGAGTCGAACCACCTAGGAACCAAGTGTCAATTCTAGTATAAAGGGAACAAGAGGTAGTTATGGTAAAT